CCAACAATGCATTAGTGTTCCAATTTTCTCACATCTCCAACATTTATCATTGTCCTGTTTTGTCATGTTAGTCAATCTGATAGGTGTAATGTGGTATCTCAGAGTCATTTTGATTTGCATTTCTCTAATCAATAGTGATTTAGAACATTTTTTTCATGTAACTATAGACAGCTTTAATTTCTTCCTTTGAGAACTGCCTGTTTATATCCTTTGACCATTTATCATTTGGGGAATGACTTGTATTCTTATAAATTTGACTCAGTTCTCTATATATTTGAGAAATGTGGCCTTTATCAGAGACATTGGTTGTAAAAATTCTTTCCCAGTTTTCTGCTTCCCTCCTAATCTTGGATGCATTGGCTTTGTTGGCACAAAAAAAATTTCACTTTAATATAATCAAAATTATCCATGTTGCATTTCCTAATATTCCCTATCTCTTGTTTGGTCATAAATTCTTCCCTTTTCCATAGATCTGAAAGGGTAAATTATTTTTTGCTCTCTTAGTTTGCTTATAGTATCAGTCTTTATATCTAAATCCTGCACCCATTTTGACTTTATCTTGGTATAGGGTGTAAGATGTTGATCTATGCCCAGTTTCTGCCACAGTATTTTCCGGTTTTCTTTCTGGGCCCTTTTCTTCCTCTGCAAAAGGAGGTAGTTAGACTATAGACCAAGAAGCCAGGTGGTACAGTGGATAGAGTGCTGGGGCTGGAGTCAAGAAGAACTGAGTTCAAATCCAGCCTCAGACACTTACTAGCTGTGTGACCTTAGGCAAGCCATTTAATCTCTGTTTGCCTCACCTTCCTCAGTTGTAAAACGGGAATAGTAATAACACTCACCTCACAGGGTTGTTGTGAGTATCAAATGAGATAATATTTATAAAATATTTAGTACAGTGCCTGGCATATAGTAGGTCTTATATAAATGCTTATTTCCTTTTCTTCCCTTCCTCTCCCACTAGAGGGTCTTTATGGCTACCTTCAGACATTCATTGATTTTTGAAATGGAGAATTTGAATCATTGTATAGTACAGATAAATTTTGGAAAGAGACAGCATGGTGCAATTGCATAGAGCTAGCCTGGGAGTCAGGAACACCTGAATTCAAGACCTGCCTCTGACCTATTCTGGCTATGTGACCCTGGACAAGTTACTTACCCTCTCAGTGGCTACAGGCAACTCCCTATTACTACTAGCTGTGTTATAAATCTACTTGATAGTGAAATCACATATCCAATCAAAACATCATGAAGCTGCTGAGTTTAGAATTGGCTCAATGTAGTTGTTTCCAATATAAACTAAATTTTATGTTTTACAAAATTGTCTATTCAGGGCACCCAACTGACTATTTTGATTAAAGCCTGACTACTTGCTGAGTATTATAAGAAATAAACCTAAAAACATAGGCTATATTGTGGTTTTCCAGACACTTGTCTAAGACCTTAGTGGGTCTACTTTGAGAATCAGAGAATATTAAAGTTATAAGGGCCCTTGTAAGTAGAATATGAATATCAGAGCTGGAAGGAGTCTTAGAATTATAGAACAGACAGCAAGTTAAGTAGCAGAGCTGGAGCTAGAAGCCAGGTCTCCTAACTAACATTCCAATGTTCTTTGCCCCACACTAGGCTGCATGCATATTTCTGGATACACAGACCTGAGGACAATGTGCTCTCAGGGGAGCTAGAGAAGGTCTAAAGGAGATAGGTACCTAGAATGCTTGAGGGGACTCTCAGGAAATTTGCAAAATATAGTTTTAGGAAAAAAAGCAAAAGAAGTAGTATCTTATACCACAAATACCAAACATTTAGAGTACTAATCTCAAAGATTTTTAGAAGCAAGAAATAAAGATTCAGGAAAAATTGAGATAAATTCCAGGGTTCCCACAAGTTGAGCATATGTAAGACTCACTAAGTGGAAATAATATCCTGCCCCACATAATCCTTCAAACACATATTTTCAGAACCCAGAAGAAAAAAAGTATCCTGAGCTGGAGAGACCATGGAGTGGAGTGTTAGATTTCTTCTCTTGCCTATTCACTAGCCTTTAAATTTTCCTTTTTCTGAGGGGAAGAAAAAGTGAGAATGTTTAGATAACAGTAACTATCACAATTATGTCCGGAAAGAAAATTTTACTTTTCCTTCAAACTTTATTTAAAAGATTATCTGAAGTGTTCATTTCCTCTTTTTATATCAGGCATGAAGGTCCTTCTACTTTTGGGCCTCATACTCTTTGGTGGCCTATTCACACCAAGCTTGGCCCAGCAGGAAACCTCTGAGTCTGGCCAGTCATCACAAGCAACTGTGGCTCAGGCATATTCATCATTTCTAGGAAACATTTTCTCATTTGTTGGAAAAGTGATAAAAACAGTGACAGATGCAATATTTAGGCCAAGAAGTCGACCAGTAGCCACAACCAAAGCACCAACAGAGGCGCCAACAGCTGCCCCAACAGAGGCACCAACAG